TTTTTAATTTCATAACAAATAGGTTCTTTTATTAATAAATCATCAAGTTAATTAACAGTTTTTAATAATGTTAAAATTTTATTTCAGTTAATAATTAAGATAATTTTATTATTGTATAGGTGAACAGTTAAAATTTTTATTTTTTTAATTAATTCTGTTAAATAAAAAATTCTAACAGGGAAGTATTTGTAATTTTCCAAATCACAGGGGCAATTCGTATTTTAAGCAAACTTCAAGGGGTGTATTTGTAATTTACCCTTTTATTTAATATAGATCTTTTTTTACGTTTGAAAAATTATATTTTTTTTCTTAAGATTTGTAATTTTATTGTTGATATTATGCCCTAAAATTTTCTAAATTATAATCCTGTCTTTTTTCTTACCATTTATTTCTTCCTACCATCATGACTATATTCTACGATTTTTCATCATTAAATTTTACCTGAACATATTTTTATTAGGGGATGATATATAAACATAAATTTAATATAAAATTTTCAAACAAAATGAGATAGTTTAATAGTGACCTGTTACTTTAAAACGAATCACTCATAAACATAATTTATATTTACAATAATATCACTATCACAATATTTTTATAATATTTTTTGTATAGATTTTTATATATGAATATAAATTTTTTTTTATTTCCACCATTATGTCTAGATTAGATCAATTTAATCTAGATATATTTTAAAAGTATAAAACTTATACAAATTTTTTTAAAAAAACCCATTGAATACAACAAAATAAGATAATGTGTTAAATTTTTGTATTTTTTTATATTTGGTGAATTTTAAAAAAATCACAAAATATTATACTTCTTAAGTATATCTAGATTAAGTGTATTTTAAAAATAAAAAAAAATCTTAAAATATTAAAAAATTCAGTAAAAATTAAAAAAAAACGAAAAATAAAAATAAAAAAATCAATTTTTTTTGTGTGAGTTAAATCAAAGAAGATGATTATTATTTCCCATAAAATAATATAAACAAAATATCTCTATTATTTTATTATTTTATATGTACAAAGGCTAATGGACAGACATGTCATTTTAATCTGATAGGAGTAAGTGTAATTTTTTAAATATGAGGGAGGATTTTAATCTTGATCGTCGGAGTGCCCCCGGGTGGTCGAAACCACCGCGGGATTCTTATATTTCTGTTGCAGGTCAGTCAGGTGCCATCTATTCTGCCAGTGCTCTCCAGCTGGTTACTAAGCGGGCAGTGTGGTCGGAAAATCACCCACACATATATACACAATAATATAACAACAAATAAGATATTTAGAAGATATAGTGGGATATAACCGAAAAGATCAAGCAACTGATTTAACGTTATAAACTTATTCCTGAAAAGATACAAGTATCAAATAAAATAAAATAATTTGAAATATAATTTTAAATTACAAAATAACAATCCCCATGTAATTTAAAATTGAAAAGAGTGTTTTTACTACACAATGGGTGTAGGTATTGTATCTTCCAGACTTGAACCTACACTTAGTAAGTTTCAGTTTGAAGGAACCATAGTGAATAAAGTCTTGAACTAGATCCTTATGATCAAACATAGGCATACAACACACCCGGTATGTGCAATTATTAAGGTTCTGAGTGTTAAACAGTCATACACGCATATCTTGTTTCTATAGGTGTCTCTTTAAGGAGTAACCCAATTTCTCACAACAGCAACCCATTGCCACACTTATGTAGGTGCATTGAGATTGTTGAAAAAATCAAATGAGATTTATTGCCAAAATGAAATATCAAACTAATAAACCAAAAGTAACAAATAAATATTATTACTAGAGCAAAAATTTAGAAAAACTTGTATGGCAGTCGAGACATGCTCTCCTTAGAAATGATACATTCTCTTCTACACCGAGTTAAATGGTATTCCTCTTCCAAGATACAACGACCTTTGAAATCACTTGTGTGCAACAAAGTGAATTTCACGAACCTTGAATTGCTCAACACTCACTTGTAAACTCAATATAATAAACTCACAAAAGAAGAACAAAATAAAAGAAGAGGTGAAGAAAGAATAAACGTTGAAGTCTTATTTATATACACAATAATATAACAAAAAAATTGACTCAGTTGCTTAAGAAGAAAAAGAAAAAGAGGTATGTGTTTGTGCAAAAGTTGACATAGTGGGAGCTAGACAGCCTTTCAGACAATTTGCCTATCCCTCCTCCAGGAGAATATCACAACTCGTCAGCTTGAAAGATGTTTAGGATTCATCTATCTGGTCTTGCATGTTTGAAGTCCAAAGAGTCAGATTGTCCCTTAGCAGTTGCATGATGAGAGTGCTGTCCTTGTATGATTCTTCACCTAAAGTATCAAGTTCAGCTATTGCTTCCTCAAATGCCTGTCCACAGAGATCATAATAAAGGTACAATCAATAGAAATCTAATATGGAAGTCTGAAAATGAAAAGCCTTGTGCAACACCAGCCTCCAGTATAATTCATAGTAGCAAGCAAGAGGCACACTGATTGTAACTCTCAAATGGTCACATGGCTTCTTTCTACCATTAGGGCATGTTTGATTGGATGGATTAGAGTATGGGATTGAGATTATTAATCCGTGGGCCCAATTATTCTATGTTTGTTTTAACATTTTGATTTACGATTATTAATCCAATGGATAATTAATCCAACAAATTTGTAAGATTATTAGTAATGGGGTAGGGGTAGGATTATTAATCCAATGGATAATTTATCCTATCAATCCAATTGGATAGTGACTACCACACTAATTTTGATAGTATTATTAATACCTCACTATTAGTCTTGTGAATCAAACATGGCCTTAGAAAAAAGTACTCCTGGCAAGTATGTTAACTCAACTTCACAAAGCCTAATATAACCCCAAGGATGTGTTTGTTTTGAAGGATTAGGGTGTGGGATTAGACTATTAGTCCCACCGGCTAATAGTCTATTGTTTCTTTCAATTTTTTTTGCTCCGGACTAATAGTCATCCCGGACTATTAGTTCCATATTTGTGGGACTATCTTATCCCATGGGGGGAGGTGGGATTATTTCTATGGAATTGGTATCCCATGAGATTAGGCTCTAAAATGTCCATTTTACCCCCATGCTATTACTTAGCAAACAATTAGAAAAAGGTAAAATAATCTTTTGAATATTTATAAATTATTTTTTTAGTGTTGTTAATTTAAAATTATATCAAGTTTGGCATGTCTTGAAAAAGACAAAAAGTTAAAAAGTCATTGTCCTATTTAAGTCGCATCATCTTATTTAAGTCACATCACCTCTCTAACACATCACTTCAAACCCGATCCAAACCCAACCCATATTTCATAAAAAGTCAAAAAGTGCACTTATTTAAATCATCCCAAACAACCCCTAATCTATTTAGTAACTCCCATTTTTAAGTTAATGAAAATTAAGGGAAAAAATAGTCTATTTACTCTCTTCATAGTAATCAAGGGATTGACATATAATTTGAAACGGTCCACTCACTTTCGAATGAACCATTTTACCTTTAATTTTAGTCTAATTTTTAAGGGGACATTGTCAATTTTACTAAATTTGCACAATATAAAAAATGTTAAATTGATGCTTTTGAAATTATTATGATCAAAATGGCATGAGACAAATTGTTTGAATTATGAGTGTAATTTGTCATTTCTTTTTTGTGCAAAGTATTTTTTTTTTTCTTATTAGTGTCGTTTTGTAAGTTAAATTCTAATTACTTTACTTAGTGCACGTTTTAATTTTCTTTTCGTCAATTACGTATGTCAAACTTGTACCAATGCACATATGACTTTGCCATGTCAAACGTTTTACTTCATCTTGAGCAGGAAATTATGACAATCTCATTTTAATTACACATGCATGTGCATGTCACAGTGCATGAATCTACCACAAATAATTCAACAAATCCAATTGAATTCAAAATTACAAAGTAAAGAAAGAAAAAAAAAGAAAAAGAAAAAAAACAAAAACAAAATTAAAATTCCAAACAACCTCATCAGCTCTCTTGTACTATGTGCATAGAGAAAATGGGTTAGTCCAAAAGGTCCTAAACTTGTTCTGATTTATTTATTTATTTATTATTATTATTATTTTTTTTTTTGATAATTAATTTAATAGGGTGTCGTTAATAAACGCCGTTAGATAACCATGAGCTGTGAATATCCAAGTGAAGGATGGGGTGATAACGGCGATAACGGAGGGACGTCAAATATCCCCTTCATTTCTGCACAGTCCCAAAACGTCCAACTTGACGGCGTCAACGGACAAACAGTAGAAACACACTCCGTCTTGACGTCAGATTCCGGCACTTTCTCTCTCTTCACCACCACCACTCCCTCTCTCTCCTCAGCGTCACCTCCTCTACGTCTTTTCCGGCGATTCTCCACCGGTGTGTCAGATTCCGGCAGATGCCCAATCTCATGAGGAAAATTCAATATAGCCTTACTTCCCCGCAGCTTGAACGCCGCTCGATCGTACGCCTTGGCAGCCTCCAAGGCGGTGTCGAAAGTCCCGAGCCAAATCCTCGCTCCCTTCCGGTTCGGATCTCGAATCTCCGCCGCGAATTTTCCCCACGGCCGCTGCCGTAGATGGAGTTTTTTTTTTTCTACATTATTGATCGTCAACCCTAAGTGAACAACTTAATTTTAGGATTATTGAATAATTAAGTGGTAATTTGGAAATTGACTACATGATAATTTAATTTTTACTACATGATAATTTGGAAATTGACTATTTAATTAATTTTTTACAAAAAATATACACAAAAATAAAAAGAATGATATGACAATTTATAATTATTTTTTGATTTTTAAGTTAAATCTCATCTCCAAACAATTATAATTTAGAGTCTTAATAAAATAAATGTCCTATAAGAAAATCACAAAAAATATGTCAATTTCAAGATATTTTTTATTAAATTTAATATACTTTTCAAAATATAATTTTTTTAATATATTTCTTCTCATCTTCTTAATATTATAACACGTTAGAATTTGCCTATAATTAAATATTTGTAATGTCAGATTGAAAAGGGCGGGGGAATAAAATTAAATTCCTCACTTCTCGTATGGATTGCATGTTATTATTCAAGATATGAAGCACACAAAATGTGCGTAAATAAAATTCAAAGTTTGGGAATAGAGTGGAAATATGGGAGTGAGTTTGGGACTTATATAGAGGAGTATTGAAAATTATTAGGCGGTTCAAAATATCACGTGTTATTATTATGAGATTTACATATGTCTTAATAGATAAATTTATTACTTAATAAATTATATAATAATTAGTAATATTTTTTTATCAAAAATTATTTAAAAAATATTATTAATTCTTAATTTTTATCATAAAAAATGTCTTTAATTATAAGTTTTGAATAAATAGACTTAAGTGAAATTTAAAATAAATTATAAAAACTATAAATGTAATGAATAAATTAACCAAAGGTCCCATAGTTTCTTTTAAATCTACTTTAGTCCCTTCAGTATTATCTGTTTTTTGTTTTTGTCATTCAAAATGTTAAATCTACTTTTGCCATTGCATCTGCCATCGAATGTCAACATCTCTCTCCTTCCAGGCAACCACGCCCCCCTCCACCATCCGCTATCTCCTAGCTCCCCCCCAAACTTGGCCTTTTCAAACTCAATACCGATGATGTCTCAAAAAACAACCCTGGCCTTGCCGCTGTCGGTGGTATCATTAGGGACTGGACGGGTAAATGGATTTCTGGTTTCTGCCGCAACATTGGCCACTTGTCCAGTATCGAAGCTGAACTTTGGGCCATGCGAGATGGTCTCAAACTTGCTCTTGACCTTAACCTCACAGGCATAGAAGTGGAAACAGATGCAACCTTCATGTAAAACCTCATTCTTGGAAACTCCAGTCATTGTCATCCACTTAGTAATCTCATTCATGACTGCAGGTACCTCCTGGACTAGCTTGGAACCTCGACTATTAGCCATACCTACCGAGAATGAAACAAATACGCAAACTTACTTGCCAACGAAGGATTCAATCATGAGGGCCTACTTGTTTTTTCCTCTATTCCTAATTGTATTTCATTTCAAGTTTTTGAAGACGCTAGGGGTACCTTTTATCAATCTAGCTGCTTAGCTATTATCAATCTAACTTCCATCTTTATTACCAAAAAAAAAAAAAGAAGCTTTTTGGCCACCAAGTCTCTCCAAAGAGAGAGATTTTGCGTTCTACTCTTAGGAGTCGAATGAGAGAGTAAAAGATTTTTTTTATAAGGTGTATATATGGATGTGAGTTTCAACTCTCCCGATATATTAATTTAACAACTAATCATTGACTTTCACCAATCAAAAAATATATATATGGTTTAAATTATTCAATTGAAATTACGAAAAACAATTTAATTCTCAAAAAAATCGAAAAGTCACTTAATTTTTCAAATATACTAACTTTTTAAAATTTTACAAAAATTTCAAAAAAAAATATTAAAAAACTCAATCCCAAACAAATTCTTAATATTAACTCATAACAAAGAAGGACTAACATTGTGATAGCGATGGAGTTTTTTTTTTTCTACATTATTGATCGTCAACCCTAAGTGAACAACTTAATTTTAGGATTATTGAATAATTAAGTGGTAATTTGGAAATTGACTACATGATAATTTAATTTTTACTACATGATAATTTGGAAATTGACTATTTAATTAATTTTTTACAAAAAATATACACAAAAATAAAAAGAATGATATGACAATTTATAATTATTTTTTGATTTTTAAGTTAAATCTCATCTCCAAACAATTATAATTTAGAGTCTTAATAAAATAAATGTCCTATAAGAAAATCACAAAAAATATGTCAATTTCAAGATATTTTTTATTAAATTTAATATACTTTTCAAAATATAATTTTTTTAATATATTTCTTCTCATCTTCTTAATATTATAACACGTTAGAATTTGCCTATAATTAAATATTTGTAATGTCAGATTGAAAAGGGCGGGGGAATAAAATTAAATTCCTCACTTCTCGTATGGATTGCATTATCAAACATATTTTTTGAAAAGCCAATTAATACGCAGATGCCCTTACTCATATGGATGAAAATCAAGTAGAAGATTTAAAGATCAATGAAGACTCCCTATTTTGTTAAGGCCTACTTTAATTGCTGATATGGTTAGAATTGTGTATGAGACATATTAACCCTCTCTTTTCTTTTTCTTTTTTTTTTTTTTTTTTTTTTTTTTTTTAATAAGTTATAGAATGATTAATAATATTTTTTTATCAAAAATTATTTTAAAATGTTATTAATTCTTAATTTTTAGCGACAGTTTGAAAAAATTGTCACAAACAAATATCACTAATTATAAGTTTTAGCGATAATTTATAAAAATCGTATCAAAAAAAATCACTAATTGTCAATTTTTAGCAACATGTAAAAAATGTCACAAAAAATTATTTTTAGCGACGATTTTATTAGGATTTATTTTCAATAGAACTTAATGATAACTAAGTCCAACTATTAAGACCTATTGACAATTTATCCTATTTTTCCCTCATTAACACTGGGTTCATGCAATCTATTTGCATCAATCTTGTTTTTATTTTAGTTGATTCCAATCTGAGTTAAAGAGTGGACTAATTGAAAAGAGTAATGCTGGACTGAATTTTGTATTCGTGTAACTCCATAGTGATATATTGATGTGGCTTGAATTTTATATAAATTACCATTATCCCTATCATATTTATTCTACTGGGTCTCGCTTCAAACACCAAAGTTTCATTACTGTTTTGACGTTGACCGTGGTAATATGTTAGTAGAGTATATCGTTGACGGTAGTCTTATGTGTTTGCAGGATCCTTATTGGCACAAGCTTTTGTGGCACTGTTTTGACAACAACTCCTACCAAGGCTGTCCTCTCCCAAAAAGGCAATATTATGCAGACAAAGAGCTTAATTTGGAAGACATTTTGAATCATCAAGAAGGAGCTTAACAAAAGGACATGAATAGATATCTTAATTTCCATCTCAATCTGTTAAGAATGAAACTAAATAAGTGGCAACAAGTTTTTTCAATTTCTTGAACTACAAATTCATAATTAAAAGATGAACTGTTTGAAGATTATATATATATATATATATATGACAAGTATGGGATAAAATGTGTTCTATTCTACGGTATGCTCTTTAAGATATTATGATTGAAAGCAAGTTGAAAACAAAGTTTTATGTAGAACTCATATATATACACACATTTCATTTTTTATTGTGTTTGGGGTTTTAGGGGAAAACTACTCCATGGTCCGGCTCTGAATTTGCTATAATTTCCAAATTTAAAGCAATTTTTCTTTTAGAAGTTTTTCGACTTCTCAAATAATTCTTAGACTTTTCATTTTACACAAAATCATAAGCTACTTATTGACAAAAACTTTAACCATGATATGGAAACTTTCATTATAAAATCACAAGAACTTTATGCATAAAGAAGACATTCCAAGAAAACAAATTTATTCATAATATTTAGAAGGCACAAATAGAAGACTTCTACATGACTTGTACAATGTAAACACATTTACTCACATAGAGCAACACAAGTCTAGTCCAGACATTATCTAGAAATCGAAAATATGCATACCTCCATGACTTAACGAACAATATAGGAGCAGAGACGCCCCAAAAACCAACCGCAAATCCTAAAGCCATAAACACATAAAACCAATCCACTTCAGATCTAGCACATCCGTTATCTCCTTCATTCCCCTCAGGTGTTTTGCCATTATTGCTACAATTCTTTGTGAGTGGAGGTCCACAAAGCTTGTTGCCGGTGAAGCTAGAAGCGTGGAAGCTCTGGAGTTGGGCACTCGATGGAATTTTTCCAAACAAGTTATTATAAGACAAATTCAAGTAACTTAAAAAGTTCAAACCTGACATGCTTGGAGGGTTTCTGGATAAATCAAGAGATTCCAACAACCCCATGTTACCTATATTCTTTGGAATCACACCAGTTATATGATTTCCGGACAAATTCAGAAAACGCAATCCTTGGAGACTAGTTAGTTCCACAGGGATCTTTCCAGATATGATGTTGTTCGAAAGGTCTAAGCTAGTCACAAGAGAAAGAATCTTGTCATATTGATTTATATTTCCTTTTGTCACCAAAACTTCATTCTCTGAGAAATCTTTGCTACCAAAGGGAGCAGAAGCAACAATAGAAATAACAGAAGGAGAAGGAGAAGGAGCAGCAGAAGGAGCATTTTCATACATGGGATTTTCATTTGCAATAGAATGCACATGTTTTTCTTTTCTTACCATGGCAATAAAATTGTTGATACACCATGGTATTGCTCCAGAAAAATTGTTGTTAGCAAGATCCAAGACTTGAAGATGGGAGAGGCGACAAAGTTCTGGAGGTATTATGCCATCTAACTTATTTGAACGAAAGGTAAGAACAATCAAATATGGAAGCCTTTCCGCCATCCATGTAGGTATGCTTCCATGAAACTCATTCTCACCGAGGTCAACCAACACTAAACTCATACAATTTTGTAGAGATGAAGAAATTTCTCCCGAGAGATGGTTGTTGCGCAAATGTAACGATTGCAAACTTCCTAAAAGCCCCATGGATCTTGGGATATTCCCTGTCAGATTGTTGTTTCCCATTTCTATGATTATTAGTGATTGCCAACTCATCCAACAATCAGGAATTTCACCTGACAGAAGGTTTTCTCCTAAATCAAGAAATACCAGATTTTGTTGTTTGTCCTTCTTTTCACATAGGAAGTGGGAGATATCCCCAGAAAATGAATTGTTGGAAAGATCAAGGTCATACAAATCGGAAGAAATATGGGGTAAAAGACCATTAAAATGGTTGGAATTCAAGTAAATATTTTGGCCTTCAAGAGGAGCAAGAAGATATGGAATCTCACCATGGATTTGGTTGTGGGAGAGATCTAGAAAATAAAGGGAGGAAGATAAGTTCCAAAACCAAATTGGTATGGCATCTAATATTCCAGTGTAGGCCAGGTCTAGGTCCTCAAGGCCCTTTTGTGATTGGAGCCACGTGGGGAACCTTGGGCCCAAATGCCATGAAGCAAGTTTTATTTCTTTAAGTTGAAAAGGAGGGATCCAGTCAGGACTCACCTTTAAAGTCAACCGGTTTCCAGAGGCATATAATTTCCTCAGATTGATGAGATTGGCGAAGTGAACTTCTGACACAATGCCTTCCAACAAATTATTAGACACATCAAGAGTTTTCAAGTTTGAAAATTGTCCAAAACTTTGGGGAAGAGTTCCATTTAGTTGATTTCTTTGTAAATCCAATATTTCTAACAATGCCAATCTTCCTATAGTGGTTGGAATGGAACCAGAAAGCAAATTATCCCTGAGACTAAAGTATCGCAAATTTTTAAATTGTTCAAATTCATCAGGTAAATGACCAGAAAGATGATTCCCAGACAAGGACAATGTCTCCAAAGCATATACTACACATTTAGATGAACTTATAAGCAATTCCCCGGTAAAGTTGTTGAATGACAGATCAACAAAACTCAAGTTGCAAAGATTTCCCAAGAATTTTTGTAGCCTTCCCTCTAGTTTATTACTAGATAGATCAAGATGTTGAAGACTGGTCATGTTGGACAAAAACACAGGAAATGGACCCTCAAGTTCATTATTTGATAGATCAAGATATTCAAGACTGGTCATGTTCTGGAAAACTTTTGGAAATGGACCTTCAAATCCATTTTCTCTAAAACCTTCAAGCCTGCCTACAAAAAAATTCATGCGTAGATCAAGAGAAACGAGGCTACTAAGGCTAAAGATCCACCTGGGTATTACAGAGTAAAAGTAGTTCAATGAAAGATCTAGGACGACAAGAGATGTAAAATTAACATCGAGCAGATGAGGACTGCGATGAAGTTCACAACCAGACAAATGTAACTCTACTAAAGAAGGGAGTTCGTTAATTACCTGCAGCCAGTTGGGTT